TCCCAGTGCTCTACATTTTTTCTTTTGCTCAGATATATTAGCTGTAATTGCTTATAATCGATTCGAAATCCAAACAGAATACGTTACTATTATAGCTTGACTGAACATTTTTTATAATTTATATCTCAATACAGTACCTTTATACAGCTATAACACAGATATTAAAACACTCTTTATGAAATAGCAGCTGGCTCTCGAAAGTTAAACATATATACATATATATATATAAAAGAGATTTAAGGAAACAAGAATGTGTATCTTATATGTGTGTTTGTCGATAAAATTATATGACAATAGTCGAGGTAGATTGTCGTTGCTATCTGTTACCATTAGTCACCTTGATGGATTATTTGTACTTTAGACTTTGCCCACAGACCCAGTTAACTCAATGTATTTAGAGTAGCAATCATTGCCTTACGTACTTTGAAGCACACATATGCTTTTAGTTTTCTTTGCATCTAGATAATGCTCTTTAACAGATCGAACTTGAAAAACAAGGGTTCCATTTTAAAGATCTTTCTTCCAAAAGACTTTTTGTTCATATCCACCATAAAAATATCCCGTGTGTCTGATAATAATGCCAGAAAAGCTACTTTTCCTATTTATTTTTTGGCAGTATTTCTGAGCATATTCAATATCGGATCCCTCAAGTTCTCATGCACAAGGTATTTTTTCTGTTCTTGTTTCGTCCATATATATACATATAATACCAGCCTGTTTGAGCTAGTCTTTCCAGGTGGTCAGAATCATATGAATAATCATCGACATTGTTTACTTGTTCAAGGCTAAAATGCTTGACTTTGCCGTACTTTAATCTGATATCGCAAATTATGAATGTGTCTTAAAACGAATGTTCCTGTCTTTCGCTTCTGTTCATCTTGGAACCTTCTTTTACTCCTCTCGGACCCTCATTTTTCTCAACTTAACCAAGTCCACTTTGATGACTATTTAAAATATATTTTTGCTCTGTATTCAATTTCAAGCCATCTTCTTTTGATACCTTATTTGAACCTTTGCGAAATGGAGGAGGCATTTCCGACCTAATTTGGCTGGAGGAGACATAACTCTTTGATGTATATATAATAATGTAAAGCTTTGTGCCCCCAGTCTGTTTAAAGACACACTACTTTAAATTTTTTGTCAACGTTTGAAAAAAAAATTCCCTCAAACTTGAGCTTACGTTTATGTAGAATTGGTAGTATTATAGCGCACAGACCATGTTATGCTATTTTTATGTATTATACTCTGCTTAGAACATGTAGATACTTCATTGTATATCGATGTGGTCTTCATACAATACCTAGCAATTTCAATATTCAATAATTTTAATTTAATGCGAGAAAGTTTGCTAGTCTCAACTTTCCCACTGCAAGCTAAATAATGGGATTACATTTTAAACAATATTAAGCTTGCTATAATGATATACATATCGTACTGTCTTGAATTCCAAGCTGACCAAAGTGACTTTTATTTGTTTGAATGTTTGTGTATTGTCCTTAACTACAATAAAGAAGACTATACCTTAAATCATGCAAGTCCTTGTTAGTATTAACAATACACAGCACTGTATTTGGATCAACAATTGTTTTACCTATACTAGCACTAGCTGTTACAATAGGGGGTTTCACCAGCTTTGGATGGTTGACTGTTTGATGTAGCGGCAGTTTAAATCGAAAAATGATTGACTGTGACAAATCCTCAAAAAATGAAAACTGAGCATCCAAGCATTTAAGAAAATGGTCCACCACTAGATGTCGTGACTTGGCCAAAATTTTCTAGATGGACCGTCAAACTCACTGGGAAGGAACAATTGCTGATTCAGATTTTCAATTTTCCGTTGGCTCGTTTAAGTCAAAGAATTCATCGCCGTCCTCATATATGCCTCCTCCAATTGTCAGCATCCGCAACACCAGAGATGCGAAATCTGCTGAAGATTTATGGTTTCGTCGGTAGTGTTTCTGAAAAACATCTTCCGAAGACCAATTTCCCAACGTCACAATGTCTTCAATGGGAATCCCTCATTCAAAGGCCAACGAAGAGACTAATGATCCGATCAAAACAGAATGGAGTGTTGACCGGTGCAAAAGTAGTCGTAGTCATGATGAGATTGTCGATGTCTGTACCGCCTTAGATGACTGGTTGGCTTTTACAAATAGCAAATCCGCAAGTCGGCCTATCGCTTTTGGATGGTCACGTAGTGTGCAAATGCTAGGACAGGGCAAAGAGAATGGGTGCTGTGGCGCTGTACCCGAATGATCTTGATAATGCGGCGTCGCTTGCGTCTTTCCTTGGGCGACTTCCCGTCAAAAGTAAGTGTTTCAGTGTGTGGGTGTATCTGTGCTGAACTCAATTGCAAGCGAGACAAGTCTGAAGGACAAAAAAAGGCTGTCATGGCAAGCAAAAACACAGTTTTCTTTTGCATATCTGCCAGCGGAGTAGTCGTGGCAGATGCTATAGATGCAATAAATGTAAGTGTTGAAGTTATGTTCACCTCTGGTTTCGTTTGCTGGATCGGGAGAGCCTTCTTGGAGAGCTGCAAGAACAAGACGTGAAGATCATCATGGTGGCAAAGGCTTTGAGTTGCAACATATAGTTGGAGGATGGTAGTGCATTGAAACTTGCTCGTTCACAGACTGTATCCAAGAGAATGTGCATGTGCTAATAAGTTGATCAGATCCTAAGCCGTAAATTCAGTTGGTGAGATATCTTGTTGCATAGCCCA